ATTATTGGTTTTTCAGTTGAATTATACTTCAAGTTCACGGTAATCAACTGTTAAAAACATACTATAAAAAAAAAAAAAGCCAATAAATGGAAGTTTTCAAAGTAAATGGATAATCGTTTTTAATAATCGTGATATCAATTATTGACCCAAATAATCGAGATTATGATTTTTGCCATAATCGAGCAGCCCTACTCTAACCTAACATCACTTTACAGGTGTAACTGGAGGATTTATGTATTACTGTAGATGTAGGCAAAAGAGCATGGGCACAAAGAGGCGTAAATAAATTTTTTTTTAAAAGAAGTAGAAAACGTTCTGTTGACCACCTGTAAACGTCAAGGTTTGATTCACTAAAAAAACTCAAATATGACATACACATGAGACACTCACCTCTAGAACATGCTTGACAACAGCATCCGAGGCACCGAACAAGTCGACACCAGAGATGCCGCGCACGTCCGTCTCCACAGCGCCGGGAGACAGGTTCTTTTTCCTCAGACCTGGAACCAACAATCAGGGCATCGCGTGCAAGGTAGGAGCCATATTCATGTTACACAAGGCACAACCACAATACAGGGGGAGGAAGAAAAACATGAAAAACAAGGAACAACTGGTTAACATTGTGAAATATAAAAGCAACATCATCTCATGAGAGGAGAAGGAATTGTTAAGGGGGAGATCTGTTGGACTACTGGACACACACACAGGGTGGAAACACGTCAAACACAACCTCTGCTCACTCACTACCCGCCAACTTGAGTCTGGAAACACAATCATGGCTGTAAGAGTACTGTTGATTGGGTTAGGGAATCGCAGGAGCATCATCACACCCAGGATTTGATTGGATAGCAGAGAAAGATACTTTCCAGACTCAAATGAGATCAGGAGTCAAATGATTGAGAAAGCACAGGATGCATCCATGATCCCTGCCCATTAACACACATGTGGTGAACAGGTAGTTCAACAGCACAAAGAGACGGCAATAGGAACCCATGTACAGGTGTGGATGTTTCCAGGGGGAGCATGGGGTAAGGTGGACACAGGGAGCGTGTGGCTGATGAGGGTGGGATGGGGGGGCTTGGCGTTGTAAGGACGTGCTCTGATGGGGCGTCGGATGTCAGGAATATGAGGGTTCATTCTGAGAGGCTCATGCGTGTTTCTGCACAGATGCTTAGGTCACATGCAGCTTATAGAATCTGACACGTCATTAATGGGTTAGAAATTAAGTTTGTAACGATATGGCGACTTTTTCTGCAATAAATATTAACACTGTTGTATATTAACAGTTATATTTTAAGATGTAGAGCCGGCCGTGCAAATGTCATGCCAGGAAGAGTAAACAAATATTTCGAAATAAGTACATGGTGAGTTTGGTTTAAAAAAAAAAAGAGCCTTTAGTTAGTTAGCCCAGTTAGTTGGTTTTTGATGCATTTTATACCAATGCAAAAAAAGGTCTAACAGAATGGGAAGAGGCATTAACTTCCTACACTGGAAGTATGGGTGCAAAGTGAGTCTTTCGTGTTAAATGGATGCCGTGCATTCGGGTCAAGCGTGACATGTCTGCACTATGGTTCAACAAGGTATGATGTTAAAAGCAACTCTAAATACAATCATGCTCTATGCTAGTAATGTGAAAGCACGTAAATCCCCAGGACAGAAGACAGATCGACATGTTGTGCATCGTCACATGTAAGAAAGTCATAGTAGATGCAAGTGAATTAATGGTTTGGTTAGAGAGGAGACAAGAAACATGGAGCAAGAAATACCATCAACAAAACACAGATTCAAAGAGCATGCAGAGACACAGAAACACCTCCCACTTGTACTTAAACCTCTCTGATTCAGAACACATTTATACAGTGCAGTATTTTGTTAGAAAATACCACACTTAAATATGTTAACAATCGACTATTTCCCTTTGTGTCGTTCCCAAAAGGAGGTGTTTCTGCAGACAGCCCAGAGAGATGTGTCCTACAATAAGGAGAGGAAGAATGTAGGAATTTGATTGATCCGATTCCTGCTTCTTCCTCGTCCTTTATACCACTCTGCCCCCCCCCCACCCCTTCCTCCACCCAGCCCGCTGTCCTCTGGCCAGCCGTCCCCGGGCCCTCACCGGAAATATCCCACACTCGCACGGTCTGATCCAGACTGGCAGACACCACCAGGTCCTCAGAGGGGTGGAACTGGGCGCACATCACATAGTGGTTATGGCCGGTCAGCACACTGTGGATGAGGAGAAAGAGGAATGTAGATATAAAAACATTTAAGAACGAAGGTCTTCTTTAAAATGTTCAGGGTAACAATCGTGATAATATTCATTTGTTCCCAGAAAAGAGAGAATGAGTCTTACCAGACGCAGGTCCTGGACTGCCAGTTCCAGATGCGAATGGTCTGGTCATCCGAGGCGCTCAGAATCCAGGGGTAGTCCTACAGAAAGGGAAATGGTTGAATTAATTAATACATTTCAGATCGACATGTTTCTGCATGGATGACAATTACAAAAGGTAGGAAGAAGCAACTCACATGGTGGAAGAAAGTGGTTCTGATGTAGTCCAGGTGCCCAAGGAGAGTGAAGAGGCAGCGTCTCAGCTTGTAGTTCCACACCTGGTTGAAAATATCAATATTTACCCACTATATACATGTATAACGTGCTGATGCAGCCTAATATCTATATGGAATAATACTACACTTCCTTAATTGACCCATATGGACAAAGTCTAGTTCAATGGCAACACTGCCAGTGGACTTGAACAACGGACGTTTTGTTGTCGCTTTATGTTGTCGTTTAATGTTGCTTTCTTCCCGTGTATTTACGTTTCCTTTATGGTGTGCTCATAGACTGTATATATAAGGGTGTGCTATATACACATGTTGTTGTGCTTCTTAGATATTATTTGTATGTAATATGTGCATGTTATTTGCTCATACGTTTCAGTTTCATGAAATATATTTGTGACAACATGCCAGTGTAGTTAAGGCAGTCTCACCTTAATTTTGTAGTCATCTCCTCCAGACACAAACAGAGGCTGCTGTTTGTGGAAGTCAATTCCTCTGACGGGACCTGTGGGAAGAGAAGTATCCATTACATCATGTAACAATCTATATTAGCATAACACTGGATCATCAGCTAAAACTCTGGCTTCCTTACCATCATGCTCGTCAAACTTGTCAATCAGTGTGCACATCCGATAGTCCCACAGCTGGATGACTCCGTTGTGCAAACTTGCAAGAACCCATGGCCTCTTAGGATGGAAACTCAGGCCTGAATTATAAAAAAGCTGATCAACTATCTCATAAAGGCAGGTGAAATCAGACATATACACCTACAGCAGTGACAGGTCGGCTTAATAACTGTTTAATGACAGTAATTAAGCTGTGTCAAGTGGTAAAGTTTAGCTAAATACTGTAACTGAGTTCAAGTTAGTTGTCGTTACTGTAGTACTAGAAAGCTAAAGAGCGTACAGTTAAGTGTCCGTTCAACAACAATCAAATTGAGCACATTGCGTGACATGATTGCTTTAGTTTGGATTTTGTAACATATAAATATACTAAAACGAGCATTGAATTAATTCACAGGCGTTACTTTAACATAAACAAGTCAAGTGAGCCGGATAACGTCAGTTGCTAACGTTAGCTTCTAAGCTAACAGATGGAAAACTCTTACCTTTGACACGGGCCGACTTCGTCTCGAATTTGGTTAACATCTCGACCTGATGTTAATACAAGTCTCAATGTTAATGATATCGTTTAATATAACTCCACACGAATGATTAAAACAAGTGAATTAATCCAACAGACAGGTGAACTCAGGCGGTCAGATCGCCTTCGCCCCTTTAGCCGATTCTCCTTTTTCCTGACACGTAGCTCGTTTTGTCTTCCGGTAACGTGAACAATAAAGTTTTGCAGTGAGACTTTGACGCAGAAAGCTCCACGGCGGCGGAAGGTAGAAATACAACTGAACTGAGCTGACAGTATTTCTACAGTCTGGTTAGACTAATATTCATTCATTTTCACAAATTATGAATTTACAATTGATTTTCTGTTTACAATTATAAGTGAGTGCAGTATTTACATCCTCTACTTAGTAAAGAGTACATGCATACATACTCTGTTATCACTACTTCTATAAACTGATTATATCTGTGTATGCAACATTTATCATATTTAATACATAAAGTACCATTACATGGAAATAATCAAGTGGAATAATTTATAAATTGCAATGATAATCCACAACAACAACAAATATTGCATGATACCATTATTTTATTTCATATATGTACAAAACAAAATAGCGTCAAATAACAGGATGCATTTTTTTTAACGGTGCTCTCGGCGTGTTTGCATCGGCCCTGAGAGTTAAATAGATTGCACCCCCCAGTATGGACGTCCACAGAAGCCTCCGTGCCGCTCTGACATATTTCAGATCTCTTTTCAGTGCATGGCTGACTGCATCCTTTCACAGCACCCCTTTATTATACAGGTGTTGATGAGCTGATGGTCGTGTGATGGTTCTAGATGTCTCTCTGTGGTCACAGCGGTACATTCAGTCCACTGGCAACAGAAGCTGGTGAGAAGAGGCTGCGAGGGTAAACAAACCCACCAAGCACAGCCGACATGTTAACAGGCTGTTGATGTTTCACCCACTGTGCATTTGAATGAATTACAGCCATGTTTTTATCCTTGCGTCACATAATTTAATGCTAAGCACTCTGCCCGTCTCCTTTTCCGGAAATAACATGATGTACTTTTACCGGACGGTGCCGGATAAGTGTACGCGTTCAGGTGGTAAACACTCCAAATACCCCTCAATGTTGTATCTTTCCTAGCAGGGATCCCATACCAGAAAAAACATCACTCTCAACTATCAACATAAACACCGGGAATCACAGAAACTCTACACTATAACGATCACTGTAATCACAGCAAAAGGCATACGGGAATCATCATCTCATCACTTCAAATGCATTCCTGGGAATGGGGGTTAAAACTCTTGTGGAATGTAGCTGGCTGAATTACAGTCAGCGCTTTATTCCACCTTAATCTTTTAATTGTTTTAATAATTAACAAATGTACACTCCTTTTTTCCACAATTTCCTAACATGTTAATAAGTATTTATCTGGTTGGTCACATCCTCCACAGCCTGCACAGGATCAGAGGTGTGTGTTTAATGAAGTGGTAGTTGGTGTAAACATTGGGTGATATTGCAAAAATTCCCATCATTTTAAAACTATTAAGTGATGATAAACTTAAAACAATAATTTAAAGTAATTTTGCAAAAGGCACCATTTTTACCTGTTAAGTGTTTTTGATAGATCTGACCGTGACGATAGACAGTATTGTAAAAACAGCATGAAGAACGGCAGTGCTATTTTCTTTTGAAAGGAATGCTTCTGTTAAAACCGTTAATGAATTGCAGCAACCGCTGACAAACTGATGTTAAAATGTTCAGAGTTGTGCGTTCAGTGGTTTAAGACAGAAGAGTGTGTGTGGTTCCTGTTGGTTTTGGTGCCTCTTCCTGTTGTTGTTTCTGCATCCACACACTTTCTGTTTCAGAGGGAACCGTTTGACAGTCGGGTCACACTCCTGCCTGACCGTTGCTTCACACTCCTTCGATCCCGGCCTGTCGCTGAAGCACAGAATGACTCTCTGGTTTAAGTCCTTCAGGTAGACGGCAGCTCCACCCGATCACATGATGGAGCACTGCTCTGCCGCCCCGGCTCCTGAGACTCCTGGGAGATTGAGGGACTCCATGTCAAAGTTAAAGCCTGGAGGCTAAAGGAGAAAAGAAAAAGGGCTATCAAGAAACAATTCAGATTTAACCAGTGGTAGCTATTCCTGTAATATCTAATCTATTGCAATTTTGGATATTATTGCGAGTTTTGCACCAGTATAATTATGTACCTTTGCTTGTCGAGTATTTAAATCGTTTGGTTAGTTTATAATAGAAATCCTGAAAGTGATGTAAAAAATAGACCCAGTGCGATTCATGTGGAGTGAGCACGGCACCAGACTTCGTTGAAAAGATAGCCTTTTATTGCTACATTGCTTGGTGTTGCTGTTATAGATGTAATTTATCCTGATTGGAAGTATAGCTCATGTGGATTTGGAAAGCTGACTGGTAAACATCTGGAAAAGTAACAGATTAAACAAAAAAAATGTAATTTGTTATATTCGAGATTGGGATTTGGTGTGATTTAATTGTAAGTCTTTAAACTCTTTAACGTTCACATTTCAATACAAATGTTTTTATTATTATGTTGTATTTTGTATAATTTACTCAGGTCATAGACATACACACACACAACATTGTTTTGTTGTTGACAGAGCAGTGGAAAACTTACCGCATCACCTGCCAGCTCTTTGGGTGGTTGGCCCAGGTCTTGCAGCTGAGGGTAAAAGTGTTCAATTCTGTGATGAGTTTCGTTACGAACAAATCAACTTCCATTGACATTAAAGTAAACAAGAGAACAGTTTGTAAGCTATGCAGACTGGAAATCCCATTCAGCACTGCCTCAGTCAAAAGCAGAGTGTGTGTACCTTTTGCATGAGGTCCATGATGCCCTCAAACGTGCCGTCTTTATCTGCTGCCCCACTTTCCTCCTTCTCAAACTGATTACAGATCTCTCCCATGATTTTGGCCTGCTGCTCATAGCGCTGGTAGTCCTCCGGGCTGAGGCTTGGCTTGTTGGCCTCCAACCATTCTGGGTACTGTGAGGGGGAGAGGCATTTATCAGTGACACTTGGTAGAGGAACAACAGACCATAGTGGATGCTCGGGAAACAGATGCACACCTTAGCAGTGATCTCTTTGAGAGACGGATAAAGCACTTCCTTAGAGAGCAGATTCTGCATGATGGTCTGCATGATGGGCAGGATGTTCCCGTCGTCACCGCCTCCTTCTCCACCCTCCTCCAATCCCAGGCCTTCAAGCGCCTTAACAAGGTCGTCTCCTGCTAGTCCGGAGGTCTGTAAACAACACAGATAGTTGGGGGAACTGCTCTGTGTCTGAATCACTCCGAATAACAATCCATAGATCCTGATTTACTCACCTGCAGGTTGTCTGCATTTTTGGCCAGGCCACGAAGGGTATCTTTAAGACAGGAAGTGAATTCTTGTTGGGAGGCGGTGTCAGTGCCTATCCAGAGAACACACATAACATTTAGGGTACAGAAACAGAACCGTAAGCAGAGGAACATATCAAAACTACACATGACCCACTGTAGAGCTTACCAACATTGCCAGCTGCTTCTGACAGTTTATTGAAGTGCTGCAGTAACTCTGGCTCCTCACTGGCCAGCTCGGTCATGGCCTTCTCCCACTCCTCCTTTGCTTGGGAAGCCATGTCCCCCTCAAAGAGAGTCTCGAAGAGTTTGCAGTCTTCAAGCATGGGGGGCTGCACAGGTGAATAGAAAACATATTTATAGACACCTCAGGGAACACTGAGTGCTCACACCCACCTTTTGAAAAGAAAAGAATAATACTTTCTGTGCTAAATAACTTTGCCATCACACTCAACTTGATAATGGATTGACTGCAGGCCCGCCCCTTCCTACACGCAGATCACGCAGACTGCGTGGGGCCTCAGCTCGCGGAGGGGGCCTCACCTCGCGGAGGGGGCCTCACCTCTCGGAGGGGGTCTCACCTCGCGGAGGGGGCCTCAGCTCTCGGAGGGGGCCTCACCTCGCGGAGGGGGCCTCACCTCGCGGAGGGGGCCTCACCTCTCGGAGGGGGCCTCAGCTCGCGGAGGGGGCCTCACCTCTCGGAGGGGGCCTCACCTCGCGGAGGGGGCCTCACCTCGCGGAGGGGGCCTCACCTCGCGGAGGGGGTCTCACCTCGCGGAGGGGGCCTCACCTCGCGGAGGGGGCCTCACCTCTCGGAGGGGGCCTCAGCTCGCGGAGGGGGCCTCATTTTGCAGAGAGAGTGCAAATGCGGCGCACTTTTAAGCGCTTATGCGGCGCACTTACTGTAAGCGCGCCACAGTTTCGGCGCTGCGAGGCTCCGGCGTGTCTTTCTTTAATGGATCATTTATATAAGTTGTTTCTTTTGTTCCCTTGACACAGTTGCAACCTTCTGTGCATCTAAAAAGTCCTTCTTGGTAAGCACAGTGAACTTTTCTGGGGGGGTTAACTTACCGGTTACACAACAAACAACCAGCTGATTGACTGTGGCAGCAGCAAAAGTAAAAACTAAGACAACAAGGGATCAGGAAACTGCCAAACGAAGAAGGACTAATAACAAACAGACAAACACTTCAGTTGGAGACAGCGGCTTAGGTTTTAAGAAAAAGTAAGTAGTTAGACTTGTTTATTATTAATGCCTTTTTTTTTTTTTAAAACCTACAAAAAAAGGGACATCCAAATGCTCATGTTTTCTTTTACAGTTTTTAACAGGTAAACAAGGAAAAGAAAGCTTTCGCTGGTCCTTTGAATGCTAGCTTCTCAAAGGCCTTCATCTTAAGGTTGAACATTTCTAAATGCATACACACTTGATTGACAAGCAGCAGCCAGATGAGAAGAACAATCCAGTTAGGAGAGAAAATACAGTTAGAAGAAAAGGTGTAGCTTTGATTGTCTGCATTATACAGGCATCACATAGCAAACAGACCTTCTCTGCACCGCTGGCTGAGGAGGAAGCAGCAGCAGGTTCAGGGGCTGGAGGGACTGCTGTCTTGTCAAAGTCATCCAAAGCACCTGAAAGAAAGGGATAACATTATAACCATGTCAATGGGCTTTTAAGGAGATTTCGAGGAGTCATTTTACAACACAAATGTATTCATTTAGGAATTATTTCGCTATTAGTTTAAGCCCAAGCAGCAGAAGAGGGATAACGTGTATATAGAATGTCTCCAAACAACTTGTGTAGAAAACTAGAAACCACATTGTGTGCCCGATATCTATCTTCATATCTTGTATTTCTACTCTGGTAATGCTGTTTGTTTTATGTAATGCGTCTTATTTGAAGCAATCAATTACATATTTTAAATTGTCTTATATTTGTAATTGTATGAATATAGATGAAACTAAATCTATGGGCTGATTCATTTCTAATGACATTTTAGCTTTTCGTGAAGCAAATATAATGACATGGTTTGTTGATCCTTTTTGGTATAAATGCTTCAGCACCACAATGGTCTCGAAAATTAAATAAAGATAATTCGATCAACATCAGTAGGGTTCATTGCAGGACTATTGTTTTACAATGCATTACTTTCAGTGGACTTGCAATTAGAAGTTTGTCAAATACAGATATGAAAACCTGTTTACAGTCAGTAAACACCATGATCTGAGCCCAACTGGGATTCAGGATTCAACACATGTACACAAAGGCGAGTAAAGACGACAAACACAATGCTATAACTATCAGTTCGGCCGCCATGTTAGATAATCAGGAGGATTTTAATATGTCTAACAGCAACTGTGGATTAAGTAAAAAACATTCAAGGGCAAAGATAGTGTGTGGAAACCGCTCTGTGGATCTGGGTGACAGCTAGCTAAGAAAGCTAACAGTGTGCCATATCACACAAACACATGCGATAGAAACAAATGCTTTATTTATTTAGCACATGAAATCAGAGGCTGGCCAGCGACAACTTTAAAATAATGTTATTTTGTCGATATCACCCAGACGATACATGGGAGGTCCCAGAGCGCATAAGCTAACCCCCCTGACACCGGGGAGAGAGCCAAATCACAGCCGATTATTAGGACCCAAAACCCGGTGCTCCTGAGAGTAAAGACACGGTCGCGGTGCAGACTTAATGTCAACACTTACTGTCCAATAATTCGTCCAATTCTGCATCGTGTCCAGTGGACTGCTCTCCTGTTCCTGACGCCATGATGTTACCCTTTCCTACAAACACCCACCGGGCTCTGGAAACTGACGTTAATGTCGTGACGTCTATGGTCGTGACTAAACGTCGCATACACGATTACGTCATCACGTCATCAGGGCTGGATTTCAAATCTGGCGCCATCTGGTGGCAATAAGGCCACAATAATAATAATAATAATAAAAAATATAAAATAAAGATTTGAATAGAAAAACAAATATGAATAATAATTCAATTAATAATATCAATCATCATTATAAAATAATCAGAATAATACCATTTATATAACTTTTCATAATTAATAACTAGGTGCTTTGCATGAAAATATATAGACAATCATTATAAAAACAAAAAAACAAAGTCTCAAATTTATAAAACCATGAACAAAATAAGCTAAACATGCTTTTACCAACATTTTCAATGTGCCACTTCATTTATTTATATAGCAGCTGTGCTTTATGTGATCGAGAAAAAGAAAACTGAAACAAAAAACAACAAAACTGTACAAATGTTAAAATATCTTTAAATAAACAGTAATATATAATTATTAAAATAATGCTACTATCTAAAAACCGATGTTTAAAGATGAAAACTTAAGAAAATGGCATTACTCCAAATAAGCTGGTTTTTTCAGATAGCGTTTGTAAATGCATTTATTTACTTAAATAGACTACTTGTTTTATATGCAACGTAGATATTATAAACAACGTAAGGAATTTAAGCACATCAGTATTGTGAAAATGTGCATATGAATGAATGATATGCATGACTTCCACCGTTTCCTGTCTTTCTGAGAGTTTTTTTTAACAGGGGCTGGAAACGCATCAATTTACAGTAAATAAAAAACGGTTGTCATGGGTAACAACTGCTGTAGCTAAGCAACGCAAACAAATAATCCCAGAATGCGATGATTCAGATTCTAGCATCGACAAATATTTAGTATTATCTGGACCGTGTGGTTAGTAACGCTGATGAAACCATGTTAAAATAAACCTGACGTGATGTTCATGAGTAATTCCTGTAAGGGGGGTTTTCACAAAGTTAATGACCACTTTCTGTTTACATCATACTGTAGCTAATTTGCTCCCAAGCAACTAAGACTGCTATGAGACCACTTGAGGTTCTTTATAAACAAGCCTTAAAAGTTATGGATAGAAAGTCATTAAAACACCATCATTGCAATATACTGTCCAAATACAAACTTTTAAGTTTTGATAGTCTTGTTCTACTTTCCCGAGTTCGATTGGTATTCAGAATCATTCACAATTCTACACACCGTTGAGGAGCTTTTTTCAGCTTTGCCGTGAGCAGAGTTGCAGAAACTCCAGATCTGCATTAAATGCAGATCTAACCATCCCTCTGAGGCGCACTGCCTTTGGACGATCAGCATTTCCGTTTACGGCCATCAAGCACTGGAATATCTCTTCCAGTTGAACTTAAAACCTGTACAGATTTTAACTCGTTTTCTTATGGTGCAAAACATTTTTATATTAAGCAACCAGTCATGCCAACATTAATTACACTGTAATCTGAGTTTTTTTTATTTGAACTGTATTGTCATGCTATATATTAGATATTTTATTTAAGTGTATTTGAAGTGTACTAAGTATTATTTTTCGTAACCTGTATTCAAATCAGGCTTTATAATTAGTTGAGTGACCGTGATCATGTAAGTGTATTTCAAGTGTACTATGTATTAATGTATTGAGCTGTACTTAAATCAGGTTTTAAAATTGTTTGACTGATAGAGATCATGCAATGTTATTATTTGTTTATTGATTGTTATGAACCTACCTGAGGACCACAGATGGAAATGAGCTATATAGCTATAATCTGGCATATTGCATCTCATCTCTTTGCTGAGATGAATGTTTTTGTATGCATGGTCCTTCTATAAATAAATACATATATTATTATTAATTCAAGAAATTGGCGGTTAATCCCTAATGTTACGGTTTAAGGTGTTAGCCATCTCACATATTTATAGGTTTTAATCAGAGGTGGAACAAGTACTCAGATCTTGCACTTTGTATAAATAAAAGTATCAGAGTGTAGGAATACTCTGTTACAAGTAAAACTCCTGCATTCAAAATGTTACTCAAGTAAAAGTACAAAATTATTAGCAACAAAATGTACTTAAAGAACCGAAAGTAAAAGTAGTCGATCTGCAGATTGGTCCATTTCAGAATAATATGATATGTTTTATAATGATTGATCTTTAAAGTGTTCTCAAAGCTGTCTAAGGTGCAGCAAGTTTGAATGACTTTGTGTACTGCAGGGTAGCTTGTGAATTTACTCCAGGTGAACTAAAGTCTGATTTAAGAGTTGATTATTCACATTATTAATCTGAAGTAACTAAAGGTATTAAATAAATGTAGTGGAGTAAAAGTACACCATTTACCTCGGAATTGAAGTGGGGTAGAATTGCAAAGTATAGCAACAATTGAAAATACTCAAGTAGAGTACAAGTAACTCCAAATTGTACTTAATTAGGCTACTTGAGTAAAAGTACTTTACACCACTGGTTTGAACACACTATGGGATGTGTTCATCATTAAACAATGAATTGGATTAGAGAAATAAACAATCCTCTTTTGTTTCATTAACAACTACATTTTGTGACTCATGAAAGTTAACATTTATTTCCAATAACAGGGGTCAAAACGTAATATATAATTTAGTGATTAAAAACCTCGCTTCATATGGACAACAATAGCGATTGAAAACATACATTTAGATTGAGATTTGTTTCTGTATATTTCTCTGCTTTTCACTATGCTGAAGCCTCTGAAAATGTTCAAAACTATATTCATCTATATTCAGGTTTTGTTACTCACATCAAACAAATCAATAAAGTTAACCTTTACTTTCATTAACAGGGGTCAACATTGAGAATATTTACTGGTTAAAAACACCCTCTTCTTACAACCAAAGTTGTAAGAAAAGTGATTTTTTTTAATGAATAAAACATGAATTTAACTTTGGATGTGTTACTTTTTACGATGCTACCAGCCTCTGAAAAGTAAACTAGTGTAATTGTATAGGAGGTTAAACTTCTGCTGCACTGCATTGGGTGTGTTGAACAGCCAGTGATGACGAGGAGGAGGAGGAGGAAGAGTTCAGACAGATGTGAATAACGGTGCAGACATGTGATGCCTAATTTGGTTTTGTGGGCGGGCCGCTGCAGCTCAGAGTGCTTCTCAACACTGAGGAGTCTCACTCTGCCTCTCTCTGCTCCGGATGTGAAGGAGACTATACGCAGCACACTATCTGAAAGGTAACCAAATCAAACTTTTATTATAACTCCTAGAACTTAATGTGGTGATTTGTGCAGCAAGGAAATGTGTTTATATGAGGCTGATACTGAGAGCTTGTGCAGCAAAAAATACTTCAGCTGCTACTTGTTGCATCTTGCTTACCTGCAATGGGAAAAATGTGATACAATCTAGGTTGTGTATATTTACATGCATGGTTTTCACAGTGATATAAGAACAACCTTTTATTTCTTGTTATTGCATTTTTTTTTTTTAAATAATAAAAATAAAATGCTGAGTATAGGTGGAAAACTTAAACAAAACTAAATGAATTCATATTTATATGCTTGATGAGTTTAAAGAAACGTTATTATACTTTCTTCACTAGGTCTACTCATTTTGTGCCGAGAGACAGAGAAATATTGTTTTCAAAAATGTTCCAAAAAGTATTTTCAGCACACTTTCCTGAAGATAAAAATCGAATTGGTCAACATGTATTTCTGTGTTTATTGTAAGTTTGTATTACTGTTTAGTGTAGTGCGGTATGTGTGTGTGTGCGTGTGCGTGTGTGTGTGTGTGTGTGTGTGGCGAGAGATTTATAGACTTTTGGCAAAGAATACACTTTTTTTTTTATTGTTCCATAAAGTATTTTCAGCCCAGTTTCCTGAAGATAAGATACTAATTTCTCCACACATTGCGTTTACTACTTTACTACTTCAGTGAAGCGTGGTGTGTGTGTGTGTGTGTGGTGGGAGAAGGGTGCGGCAGGAGGCACACCCACCTTCACCGTCGATGAATGAACCTCTGGAGGCGCCAAAAACACAGCTATCACACTTTTACTCTTTCTCTGTCTGAATTGGATTGAAGACGCTGATTTAGATTCTCACCAATAACATTACGTGTTATTCTTCATTTCAATGCAGAACTTTATCCGGGTTTTTCTTTTTCGTTGGTCAAATAGAAGGTGATGACCCTAAATAATCAGTGTGTGGTTAGAGAGATTAAGTATCTTTTTAAGCTTTGTCTTGTGATTCTTTAGTGTTATCTGAAGGGAAATCTGGGGGAAAAGCTTAATACTTTGGTTCTTTTTACTTTAAGAAAGGTCAAATGTAAAGGTGTATTTGGGAAGAACCTCTCGAAAACACACAACAGAAACCAATACGAATCTATTACACACACAATGGGATAGTTTGCTAACAGAACTCATCTTGTGCTTCGATCCTCCGGTCTCCTGTAAGTGCATTACGGGGGAAATCAAGTTAGTGATGTTGTGTCATGACAACCAAACAAGCTGCGCACATGACCTCACTACCCGAGAAAAGCTTGTTTCCTGAACATCTACATTTGTGTGTGTGTGTGTGTGTGTGTGTGTGTGTGTGTGTGTGTGTGTGTGTGTGTGTGTGTGTGTGTGTGTGTGTCCCTCCCCTGCTGTCAGTATGAAAAGTGACTGTGCAGAGGAGCCTGATGCTCTCACATCATGTTTGCTGTCCTGATGTGTGAGCCTATTTTCAGCCCCTCCTCCACTTTGGGAAGTGCTTGTGGGATGCTGTCGTATTTTCCATGCTCTGTCACAAAAATACATTTTTCCACACTATGCTTTTGTATCTTTTCTCTCTTTTTTTGTTTGCCATTTTCCTCCCTTATTTCTTTCCTAACTTGATTCCATGAGCAGCAATGGCGGCAGGATTGATTTTTCCATTACGACCCCTCAGTATACGTCTATTTTGAGTGGTTTACATGAAGCGTCATTGGTACCCTGACTTTAAAGCTGGAGAGGGAGTATTGAACTGGGAGAGAGGGAGAGGACAACTGATGGAAAAGAGAGGGAGTAGCCGCTCAAATGAGACTATGAGGAGGGAAGGGAAAGAGAGGGAAGGAAAGAAAGAACTTGGCAAATCCGACAAAGTTAGCCGTTGTTCAACAGCAGCCAGACTGCAGCACATCTGGAAAGCATCAGGGAGTTGGAAAACAAGAATAAAGGGAGGAGGGAAGAAGTGGTGAAAGAGAGTGGCCGGGTGGTGACTCACTTTCCTGCTATTCCACTCCATCACTGTGTTTGAACTGTGTGTCCTTCTGTGGCCCGAGACACAGGGCTTCCCCCGTGTTTCTCCCTCTTTTTACTCCCCTCCTTCCCCTCTCTCTTGGCTCCAAGTGAGTCATCCTGCAGGAGTTTCAGGGGTCTCTTTTTCCATTCCTTAAACTTTCTGTTCTAGCCTTTCTATTCATACCTCGCCACCAGTTCAGGTTTTTGCCTCCCCAGCCTCGACCATTTTATAGCAGTCTAATGGGACTAATGTAAACAGGCTCTTTCTCCATGTTTATAACCGTCTCTCTGTGTAAACTGGGAACAGGGAATGCAGCACTCGAGGAGCCAAGTGGGTGATGGGTGTTGGGAGAGATGGGAGGAAAGACAGTCTGTGGAGGAGGGTTTCTGCACGGGGAAAATGTCCATCTTCTCGTCTTTTTGTGTATGGAAAACTTGTTTTTCTGAAAGCCTCAAAAGCTTGCCTTAAGACTTTCTGTGAAGCAAGTAGAAAAAAAACGTGTACTAGTATTGAGTTCATCCTGAAATATAAAGAAAAGCAAAACATGTTAAGCAACAAACATGCATCACTAAAAGTCCTTCAGAATCAAACAGCAGGCTCTTCTTAGATAGACGCCAGTTTGCACCATCATTGAATAGAAATCCCTTTAGGAGGAGGAAGGCGTCGTCTGTACATCAGCAAGCTCATTACATCACATGCATCGGCACAACAGTTGGCGATTTGAGTCATTGAAAAACTGGAAACACCCTTGACTGCTTTGCAAGGTCGTTGTGAAACTTGAAGTATTGTCTGGGGCCATTTTGTCAGCTCTTTTGGAGCCACAAAAGTCAAATTTCAGGATGTGGGGGAAAATAAATAATAATAATAATAATAATGGGTTTCATTTATAAAGCACTTCATATTTGATTGCAAATCCCGAAGTGCTACAAAAGTGGAAAAAAGGAAAAGCAGACTGAAAATATACATCTTATAATCATTAGCTCATCAAAAACATTTAAAAGTACAATTAAAAAAGTTATCAGTCCAAAAACAATGCTAGGTTTTAGATTTGCTGGTTCTCCCTGTCGTTGTCATTTGAATATTTGAAGTTATTCACCTCTTCACCGCTTTTAATAATATAAAACAATAAAAGTCAACAAAAAAATCTGGCTAAATCACACTCCAATGTGAGCTTAAATAAGAGACTGTGTGACTTTTAAAAGAGGAAATCGCACATTCATTTTCTTGCAAATGAACAGTTAATTTCATTGGCAGTAAAAAATACCCTTGCTCAATCCAACAGACTCGGGCTTGGTCAGTGGTTTGCTGACTTTATGACTCTTTTCCACTTTTACTACTGGAACAATTAACCATAAATGTCACTTGTGGTCACAATTTCTACTATTCAGCTCAATGCACTCAGTAGATGAAACAGTTACGACGGAAATGATTAGCTACCAAACTCGTGGCAAAAACATGTTTTTTGAGGAGCTGCATCTGAAAATACCTGTAAAGGGGACCTATCATGCAAAATGCACTTTTTGATGTCTTTTGTATACATATGTGTCCCCGGTGTGTCAGGGCCTCACGCAGCGTCAGAAAATAAAACCCTCTCTCTTTTCCTCCGTACCCAAATCTTTTTAAAACGGGGGTACAACGAGGGGATACAGATTTGCTGCCGATATGACGTAATTTCGTGTTTTGGACGTAATATGGCCTGTGTTTACATTAGCAAGCCTCGCTAACACTCAGAGCTAACCTGTACTGTAGAGCACATGTGTTTAAAAAGCAGGAAATTAAAAGAGGAACTCACTTTGTGATAAACCCGCAAGAGATAAAGCATTTGAGCTCCATACTGTTTCAGAAATAATCGTTGATGTGGGTTAGAACAGGATGGCGTTTTATCACAGCAGAATTTAACTTTATCTCCGGTAGAATTCTGATCAGGCATTAGCTCCACTTCCTCTTTTTTTTCTTTTTTTTTAAGCTAAGGACCCAAAAGGATGTCTAAAATGCATGATCTGTTTGTATTTTGAGCAAAACACATCATAGACATGTTTTTATATATTTTTGATATATCTGAGATCCATAATATATGCCTTAATAGCATGATAGGTGCACTTTAACTCCTTTAAGACATGCTCGTTGGTTAAAAATAATTCAGGAAGTGTAATAAATCACTAACTAAAGAAGAACTTGACAAGACAGTCGAAGGAAGGAAGGAAGGAACTTACTGTAAAGAACTCTATTGTAGTTACGCTTACAATAGTTTGCAGTGAAGTATTGAGATATCTTTAAGCCCCTGAAAACATGGTGTCTATTTATCTCATTGAAACTAAAACATTTGAAATAAAACTTGAGCTACGCCCACTTCAAATAGTGCAGAAAAACAGCCAAAAATCTTTGGAAATAACTGAAAATGTTTCAGGTTTAGCAGAATTGGTTTAATTTCCTTTAAAACCCAGGCTCTCATATAGGGATATCTTTCCAAGGCCTTAAAAATGCAGAACATTTATTCGAATAAAAAACAGAATTCAAAGAAGTAAAGGTTTAGGAATGAAAATCTGAGGTCCCAGTCTCATCCAACAATGCAACAATAATATACATAAGACATCAAACAATAACAATTAGAGTAAAAATATAAAGGGAAATAGTATAGTGCAAGACAAGGTTGACCAATGTGCAAGTATATGCAGAAATAACTCAATTATATTGATGTAAATTAGAATAAGATCAACCAAATAGTGAAATCAAATAATGCACAGTGGAATAAAATACCGCATATTGAAAAGAATTGATAAATACATTTGTGAGCTGTAAACATATGCTTCAAGCCTTCTTTTAACACCCCAGCTGCACCAGATTGTAAGCCTTGTTAGGATTTCAGATGTGTGTGCAGAGTAGATGAGGATCCTGGGAGTGGAATAAGTGATGAGGGCCATGTTTAGAGCTCGATGACAGACTCACACTGCGGGGTCGGTGAAGGCTGCAACGCCACGCCCGTCAGAGGACATGAGCATGGAGGAATGTCCGAGAGAGAAACAGTGTGCACTCAGCGCAGGAATGCTGTGAGAAAGCAGTCTGATAGGAGGCAGAAAGCACCACAGAAGAAGAGAGGGAGTGTTGTTCAGCAGATGGTAAATGTGCTGTTACGACTGTGACAACAGTGCAGTCATTATTTGTGGCTTTAAATTGCGTTTTCATGCTTTCACTTGTTGTTGTTTTAACCATTCATGAAAATACAATAACAGCACTGTGTTTGAGAAAAAATGGCCGTCATGTGGTTGTATTATGTATCTAGAGATCATGACAAAATGACAGAAACTCTGCAAAACAGACTTTCGTGGTCTCTGGTTAATGTTTAAATATGGTAATTCTTAGTGAATTGTATTGTGATCTGCATATGTGTTTAACATTAACATCCCTTTGTTTTGACTTTCATTGTATTACTATTTCAGCACCTTGAGACTCTGAGATAGGACATATTATGCAAATGTCCAAGTTCATATTTGCATTTTGTGCCTCTTCTGTTACTTTAAGGTTCAAAAAGGGCTCTTTTTTCACCCACGTCTGAAACCAGAGCTCAGTCTGCTCTGATTGGTTAGCTGGCCGGCTCTGTTAGGATTGGTCAACCGCCAAAAGATGTCCCGCCCCTTATCCTATCACGTACAATATGTTGGAGCGCTAGCTAATAGAAGCGCAAGTGTTACATAATGATGTCACTATGTTATGGAAGTACACATAGGAATCCAATGGAGGCGTTTCAGGCAGTGTGTGGGAGAGAAACTCCCTTTGGGATTTTAGCCTTTGCAGCCCATTTACATGCACTACCCAAACATGATAAAAGGGGACTTAAAATGTAATGGCAACTCTAAAGTCTTGCTTACTAATTATTTTTCAATTTGTTTTCGTCTTACAGTTTCTCTGCCTTCTCTGGCTGGCTGAAATCCGAGGAAGTGATTCCCTATAGGACGAGACTCCTCTCTCTCAGGAACAATTTCATCTTCTCGCATCACCTACCACATCATGGCTGTAGTTCTCCACTCCAGCCCCATCTTTTGGACACGGCTGGCCGCCGTGATCTTCTCCTGCGTGGCCTTCTCCGTGGCCGTGCATGGCGGCAGGCTCTCCCACGGCACCGGGGACTGGTGCATCTTCTGCTGGGCCTTCGGTTTCGCCGGGACCCTCCTCGTCATCCTGGTGGAGCTCTTCGGCCTGCAGACCAGAGCCCCTGTGTCCTGGAAAAACTTCCCCATCACCTTCGCCTGCTACGCCGCTCTGTTCTGCCTGTCCGCCTCCATCCTCTTCCCTCTCTATTATCTCAAGGGCTCCATTGCCCAAAGTGAAACCCGCGACTACCGCATCGTGTCCACCGTCTTCTCCTGCCTGGCCACCATCGCCTACATCAGCGAGGTGAGCATGAGCAAGGCGCGTCCGGGAGAAGTTGCCGGCTACATGGCGACAGCTCCAGGCCTCCTGAAAGTCTGCGAGACCTTTGTGGCCTGCATCATCTTCGTCTTCGTCAGCGACCCCGTGACTTATGACCGTCACGACGCACTCAAGTACTGCATGTCGGTCTACTGCATCTGCTTCATCCTGTCGGCGGTCATCATCCTGCTCTGCATAGGCGAGTGCACCGGCTGCCTTCCCTTCCCCTTCGCACGCTTCCTGTCCTCCTACGCCCTGCTGGCTGTGGTCCTCTATCTGTCGGCGACTATCATCTGGCCCATCTTCAACTTCGACCCCAATAATGGAGGGACGAAAAATAGGCCCAGCAACTGCAGCATCGCACAGGGTTTGTGTGTGTGGGATAAGAACATGGCGGTGTCTGTGCTCACGGCGGTCAACTTCGTCCTTTACCTGGTCGACCTGATCTACTCTTCCCGCCTGGTGTTTGTGAATGCTTGAAGGGAAGTGAAAGGGTTTTAAGCTGGCAGTATGCACCAAATAAAATTGAATATGGCAGGTTTTCAAAGGCCAAATGTCAAATACAGTGCTGCAAGCATGTGCAAGTGTAATCAATGCGACTCTGATCTGTTTGTATGATGGCATCCGATTCTCACACTAGATGCAGAAGAGTGTAGAGTTATACCCTAATTGGTGTAGTGTTTTGCAGAATTGCAGTCTGGTTTGACATTATTTGGTGATGGAATTTAAAATAAAAGGATTTTATTTCACTATCTTTCTGGAGAAGTTGAAGTTTCCCAAAGCACCTGTGTAATGGTAGACCCAGGATGTAGAGATAATGTGAAAGGGACATTTATTTTTTAGAGATATCAAAAATCTACCTAGGCAATCAAACCAGATCTTGTGTTATTTTTACCAAGACTTTGCCTGTGCAAACCTGCCACATTTAATTTTGAGTGAAGTATACTGCTTAGGACCGTAGAGAGAAAGAGAAAAGAGGAATTCAATGGCTATGTTTACAAATACAACAATATTCCCTTATCATAAAATACCAAGGCTTTCTGCTCATAAATGTCAAACCTTGCTTGACTCTATTTTGAGAGACTTGAATGTAATTGCTGAATCTTTTTCATCCATTTTAATTGCAAGTAATTGCCCAATACAGTATTTCATGTATAGATGTTCTGGAGTAAGCTATAAAAATGATCTCACAGACAAGAATGTTAAAAAATAATACATGCTACTGTAACAGCCAAATACTGTGCATGTAAACATAGTCTGTGATGACAAATGAAGAAATACCAAAGAAATTGGCGGCTTATTATTGTGTTTTTGTTGTTTCTTTGCATGATGTATACAGTAAGTTGGGCTCTGTCTAAGTGTGTGCTCAATTTGATAAAAAGTTACGACCAATCTTTATTGAAAGCCATACAATTTAAAATCCAATACTTTAAAGAAAGTTTCATTTCTGTTTTTCAATTGGTTTTGTTTTCCAAAAAGGAGGAAGACCAGCTGATCAGATTGTATAATTCTTGTAATTTGTACACCAATTCTGTCTCGGTGTATCTGCAGGCTACAATCAATGGTTAGAATATATGTGGAAAGAAAACATGGAAGACGTGGTGTTTAAAGTAGGTTTTTTTTAATGCCTTTTAAATGTCTGTTGGATCAAAAATATCTAATCACCTATAAACACCAAACTCACACCACTTAATTCATATGTATATGTCAATTGGGTCTATTGGTTTTGTACTGCTGTAATAAATACTCAGAGAAAGTTACTAAAATGGATGCTTCTCTCTCTCTGGAAGTGGTTAGTGTTATATTCTTAGCCTTTTCATATTCCACTGTTCGTGTTTCAATTGTGCATACCACATCAGTGTTGTAGGAGAACATAATCTATTGTTTCAATAAACCACATGTTAAACAGATGAGAGTGTGTTTTGGGTTTTTGCCAAACATGTTATCAAGTTGTGTGATTGACCTACAATTTGGTGCGAATATCCATAGTGCTAGGAGGATTAATCCCATTGTTGTTGGCAACCTCTTGCTTGTGATTAGTAAGCACCACAGGGAGGTCAATTATTTCATATTTTCAGTGAAATACCTCAGCATTTACTTTACAGGAATTGGCCCCAAATGTTGTCAAACAACGTTTCCGAATGTTGTTTTAGTTCCACTAAAGGTTCTCTGCATTGCTCCCAATGGCCAAAACAGCTAAAAACAAAAATGACAAAGATGCACAAAGAAAGGTAAGAACAGACAGAACTCACAAGTGATATACATGAATTAACTTTGACAAAACGTATCTGGTTGTTTGAACTGAAAGTAAACAGAGTATAAATCAGCATCTGCTCAATGCACACTATTTATATGTCCCTGTTTAGGTAATCTCTCACCACACTCTTTCCTCACCTCCTCCCTTAGCTGCCAGATGCCCTCCCGCTCTCTGCAGACCCCAGAGCTGCTTTCAGGGGCTGTGATATGTCTCCGGCACCAGAGACTGTGAGGAGGATTGAGGAATGGGCAGAGTGAAACCACAGTACACACATTCAAGTTGTCCATAAATCTATGGCCTGGAGAAGAGACAGCAACAACGCCCAGCTCTGACACAATAACATAACATGGAGTTTCTTTTGTTCGAGGAATGGTTGTATCCTCTGCCATAGAAACATGGATACTGTAATGTATCTTTTAGTTTCACCATGTACTATACTATATATATGTTGGATATTTTAAATAGTATTTGTGGTTTATTTTTTACATTCTGGGTTACGGATCATATAGCATATCAGGACTGTCATCTAAAAAGATTTTTTAAATAACACTATCTGTATCTTATT